TGGGAGAACGTGTTTTCAGTAACGTAATAGTGAATGGAAATAATGAAATGGTAAATTTAGATATGTATAATGGTTAATTAATTTGTTTAGCCTTATGAGATATGGAAACTAATGTTGATTTGAATAATTGCTGTTATTTACGATTAGATACATACTTTTAATACTGATTCTCCCAAAGTTTTGTTAGAAATTTCTTGAAAATTGGAGAGATTTTGCAGTTTGTGTGGCAGAGACTAATAGTACAAGAATTTGTATGCAAATGAAAAGAAGTTATCAGTATCAATTCATGGAATATTAATATTTCCAATAAAAACTATGATGGAAACTAATAAAATTTCATTAGGAGTACCAAGTAATTGTAAATTAAATGTAGAAAATGTCAACTATTCATTCATTCTATTAAAATTTAATGCACCCTCAGAATTATAAATTTTCACACAGTTGGAGTATAGTACCAATTTTCGCTTCTACGAAAGTATAATTCTTTTTCCCTGTAGTAAATAACAAGGCATAAAATCATTCAAAGGATTAAGAATAGCACGTCCACACAGACGTAATAAAATAATTCAAAGGATTAAGGATAGTACATCCATATAAACATATTTTTAAAAAATCCATCTTTTTACCTGCTTAGGTGTGTATAGTCTCTTAAATACCCATGAAGTACGGACCTATAATACGCGGCTGTTCGACCAATAAAAATAATACCTGAAGGTTTGAAGTACTGTTACACTTAACACTCTTGTGTGCGAAAAATAGAGACCTCTAGTTTATGTGATTACAGATTCAATCAAGATGAAATGGGTGTCTAGAAGAAGGGAGTATATTACATTTCATAAATTTTGGAGGACACCGGGAAGACAAATTACTGCTCATTGTAGCTACTTAACAGGTAGCTAGTGTTATACCACTAATGTAAAATAAACCCTTCTTTCAACTTGAAAAATAAAAATAATGATTGAATAATTAAAAAGTAATTTATCAGTTTTGAACACTAGAATTACCGAACAGTCAAATTGACTTTTTGATATTTTTCTATGGAAACTCCAACAGTGCTACTATTGAGATTCCTATTGATTTATAATTCAGTTTGCCTATTGCTGAATCAATTGTGGTAGCAATTTCTCAGAGAATTATCTATTATGTTTTTAATAATTGTTAAAGAAGCAATCAGGAATGGGTCATTTTGACTTCTCTGGTAGTTCTAGTGTTAAAAACACAAAATTGAAGCAAGTTCTTTTTCTTCTTATCGATAAGTAATTTTTTTGCAGAACCTGTAAATTATTAGATTCTGGCATAGCGACTAATATTTATAAAATAGGACATCTTTTCATACAGTCGTCAATATTCCGTTGTATTTCATGCATAATTTCTGATATCTAGTATAAGAATTAAGGAACAAAAATTTATAGAAACGTTCCTTCCATCATATTCTGTCCTTTTCTCATAAAAAGCAACTTTTGAAAAATCCGAGAAAACGTCATTCTGCTAGTCGCCTACTTAAATATTGAATGGAAAAATCAGTTTGTCGTTTCTTTAGACACTTTGTGCTGAGGATTTGCAGCAGAACACTGGAAATAAAGAACGAAGCGAGCACACTCCATCGGAAGACAAACGTCGTTGCCACGTGCGTGTCAATGGCCCCGCGCCAAAATTGCAGAAACACCGTCGAAGCCGGTGATGGCTTTTCGGTCCTTTTGCTTGATTTTTGGTAATTACGCTGTGCGGAAGGCTAGCAATCTCGTAGCTCGGCCGAGCTGCCTCCGCGAAACTTCTCCCGATGATAGCTCGGCAAATAACAGAGACGGCCGAGGCGAAGCGGATGGCAACAGTTGCCAGTGGACTCTCCTCTCCTTGGACGTTCATCTTCGTCGTCGATTGTTCCACGTCGATCGTCGTGGATCGTGTAATTGGATCTGTACTTACGTGGCAGGGCCCGACGAAATTCGTTTTCGCTCGGTGAGCCAAGAATATATCCAGAAGACTAGCAATTTACAGAACAGGTCCGCTTTTGTTCTAATGTTCTATGAAAATTTATATGGTTCAGAAGCGTTGTAAATAATGCATCGTAGAGGATGAAAAGTGAAGTTAAAAATGATAGAAATATTTGCTCGATTGTGATTTGGAAAAAAACACTTGCGAAAGGAAACTTTCGATTTTTACAGAAATTTAATAAAAACTGCTAATATTGCTAATTTTAAGAAAAAATTGTAAGTTCTATGTGTATAAATATTTTTAATAGTGTAAAAAATAATTTGCAATACCTATTTACAAAAGGGACAAACTATGTCTAGTATTTCAATTTTATATGAAACAATTTACGTTTTCATGTGTATTAACAAAAATTCTTATTGAACTGTTTCTTGCTAATCAAAATCCTTTGTACAATCTTTAATTGAATGAAATATCCATTCGTGAGTGTGTTAAGCCCAAAGTATTAGTTTTAAGTACCGACATTTCATTAAGTATATAAAAAAATCTTTCGTTTATTTTAATCAAACATTATTATACATTTTGCATCATTATTAAAATTGTATAATATTTTTAATCTCAATTCAATAATATTGTTAAAATTCGTATCTATGAAAAATAGTATCAAAGAACTCTAATGTATATATTAGTTTGGTAGAACCACTATAGGCAACAATAATAATGAAAATTTGAAAAAATACAAAAGTT